CGAAATACTACAGAAATACGCAAATACCCTTCAGACTTTTCATTCATTCCTCCCCCAAAGTATTGTCTGATACATGATGCAATCTCAGGTTTCCAAGTTTTAAACAATGAATTGATGTTCTAAAACTTCCAATAACTCAAGCCAAAAGAGAAGAACAAAGCCAGACTGACTGCAAGTTCAGATTTTGACCTGCCACTTCCCTTTATAAAAGAAGAGCCAATAATGTTAGACAGATGCACAAGCCAATCGAAGGTTATCATATTATCATACCATTACCAATATGAGATCAAGATGATAATTGCTACTGGCAGGTGTTTAGAAACCCAGTTAGGATTGACTTAGATATCTATTCCAAAGTATGTTCCTACCTGAGTTTGTAGGCTACATTCAGTTCCAGTTCAAATGCAGAATTAAGATACCCTAGGACAGTGTTTCTCAACCTTGGCAACTTTAAGAAATGTGGACTTCAATTCCCAGAATTCCCCAGCCAGCATGGGGAAAGTTCCCCAAGGTTGAGAGACACTGCCCTAGAAATTAGTGTGGATTTGATCTGTGACCTCTACCTAAAGCAACTGCACCTTTTCCCAGGATCACACAAACTCAGACATTTCTATACTCTGTGCAAGAAAAGTCCATAATTGTGTATCTGCTGCCCCATACTGTCATAATTTGGAAAACTCCTTAGCTGCGCAAATAAATTCATTGCTGAGTGTGACAGATCTACACTTATGAAAACATTGCTTAATATACACAGCATCTAAAAGCAGCTTTTTAGAAGTTTCGGGAGCCTGGAATGCACAACAGCAACTCCAAATCATAGATCTATGATGCTATGAACATTAGCGTGTGCAGAGTAAATGATGCCTAGAATTATACAGCCAAGCCAATGATAAGGAATCAAAAATTGCTGCTCAAGTCCATAAACCCATGTTGAGTTTATTTGCATGTGGTATTTTGAAAAAGCAAACTATTCCTCTTTCCTCCATAAATAGTTACCTTAGGGGAAAATTTCGATTCCTAGCCACTGAGCATATACCTAATTGTGTTTATATTCATTGAAGATTGACAAGAGTTTGCACACAAGAATGCTGAATCATGCATCTATCTCCTAAACAACGAGAAGCAGATCTGACACGCCAGTAGATCCCAAAGTCTGCAATTGCTTCAGGCCTAGGAACATTCCTGAATCAGCATCAGACTAACCGGCTTGAACCCTGACAACATGCAAACCAAAGAAATTAAAACTGCCATCTCATCATTCCTAATGAGCATCCCAACTGGACTGACATAACGGCCTCTTGCCAGTTCGTTACCTAACCCCAGTCTACTAATTCACGGCACAGACATTTACCAAGTGCAGGCTATTAATAGTGGCAATTTACCAGAACACCATTTTTAGAAAGGACAGCAATGTTCCACACATGCTCAGCTTCTCTCCTACCAACTCTCCAACGATCCATAGAAATGAATGACTATGTGTGGTGCTAGTAGGCCTTTCTCTCTACATGCCACACATTGCTTCTGAAGACACCCTGGAAGGACCCCAAAGGCAGGACACACCCTGCACCCTCCCCTTCCATACACTCCCCCATACCCATCTCTTAAAAGCCTCCAACTTCACCTACCTCTCCTGCAGTGTTGGCCTTGATTTTCAGCAAACTATCTGCCCGAGAAGCAAATAAACATGGAACTTACGGGGTTAAATGAACAGCCGAAAGCACGGGCAATCTTCGTTGGCTGTCTTCATCTGGGACGCCTCTAAAGCACAGCATTGGATTCATCCCACCCCTTCCAGGAGCTGACAATGAATGATCAAAGGGGAGACACTGAGATAACACTATCTGTGGGCAAATGGGGGGGGGAGGGAGGGAGAGAGAGAAAGAGAACAAGAACTGGGTGGGCGGACTAAGGAAAGTAGCAGATCATGAAAGAAGTCATAGGTAAAATCTTCTGATGGGTGCTTTCCCCAGCCCATTCCTTTGGGTCCTCTCGCATGAAGTGCTTGATGTCAACCTAGCTGGCCACAGAATCTGTACAGCTGGAAGGGAGATGGCGTTAACAAAATTGCTCCTAATCTGGCTGGAGGCTGCAGTAACTCACTGCGGCTTTTTTTTTCTCAAGAGGAAAGAGAGGAGCGTTGTTCGGTAGCAAGGACTTCAGCCCCTAAAGCAGAAGCTGCAGCTGGGTAATCTGAACCCGAATTCAGTAAACCCCAGGCGTGTACGGAAATACATGCTCACACAACTGCACGGAGGCCCTCAAGCAATTCTAACAGGATGTTCCTTATCTTAAAGGGACCACAGCCTTACCGAGCACAAGTTCTTTTCTTCAGATACAACAGTGCCCGAAAGTTTTATATCGATCCTAATGCGCTCGATTCTAAATTGGGATTCAAGGTTACCCCATCATCGGTTATCCTTTCTAAAGCATCCCAGCCTTTATGGAGCAGTTCTGCAAAGCCCTGGAATCATTTTTGCAAAGGGAAGCAATTAAAATGGGCTGGCTTCCCCAGCCACGCTTTGCAGCACTAGGACCTGCTGCTGCCCTTCAGTTTTAGACACAAGAGTGTACATAAGAGTGTAGTAAAGACAGGCTGTCTTCACAGGTCAGGGTTTTGCCGTAATTAGCAAATAAGTTTTTTTGGTTTCGGGTTAGTGGGTTGTGTGATATTGAGATTTGGATCGTGGCTTAGTGAAATAGTACCCAGCCTGCTGCAGCTTGTTCAATGAAGTTTGGATCAGCAAACCATGACTTAGAATAAGATGTGAAGCCCATCACTGGTTGAGTTCATGCAACATGCTTAACCAGGTGATGTAATGAATTTATTTTCTGGATGAAGGCCACGGTGTAAGCTGGGGCTATCAGATCTGGTCTGGAAACATCCAAACAACTGTAAGATGGTGAAAAGCTATTGAAACTCTTAATTTTTTACCACCAACTAATGGTCATCTGGAGTTTTCACCAGAGATCTGATAGCCTTACCGCAATCTCTAAAATAGGCAGATCACAGTTTAAAACGCAAAGGACGACTATCCAGTTCCTCCCAGAATCTAGTTCCATCTGCTTGATCACCTGTCTCCCTACAACTGTTAAATGCAGCCAAAAAGGTTCCCCGTCTCTGCCGTAAAGTCACTTGGATCATCTCCCTAGCCACAGCTCGTGGCGTTTAAATGTCTGTGGGGCGCAGCAAAGAATTGTTTCCAGATACAGTTCTATAGTAGCTGTGAATCGGTCTCAGCAACTGAGCCACCCCATCCATCTGTACTGGGAACCAGCCTTCCAGTATGTGCCTGTATTTGCATATGTATGCATAAATCACAACAGCCACCCACAAGCTTCTGGCAAGGCTTCTTCAAACTGAGTCCCTGTGCAAACATAAACTGTCACTCTGTTTCTTTGACAAAACATACACGCAAAGCTGTTCTGAAGAGAAATCCTGGTGGAACATCGATCCCACAATTCTACCATTACTTCTCAGAAGCTGCAGGTGCCTCACTCTACCTTCATTTCCCCACAGGCTGATCACTCTATGCCCTCATTGGTGTGCCATGAGGATACCCTCATACTAAGGAACATGGAGGTCTCTTGGATTAAAAGACTTTGCCCCACTACAAAAACATTTACACCAGGCTTCTGTCTGGGGAGAAATGACTGGGCCATATTGCTGAATTGACCACACCCTGAAGAAATGAGGTGGTGAAGCAAGGGAGACGCAGGCTTCTGCCACTGAAATTCAGTTTTGCCCCTTGAAACCACCAAAATATTTAAAAGTCTACTTCTGCTGATTTGGTATAGTGTAAATTAAGCTCTCTTCTCTGTGAAGCTTTGCTGGTTCCATTGTTCAAGTGGTGAGGCTCATCAATTTGCAGGCAAAAATACTCGAAGTCTGTAATTTGCCTGCAATGGTGAGAGAGCATCCTCGTTTTCCTTCTCTTGATTCTCAGGAATATAAAGGCGTTTGGAGTGACTAACTTCACTTTTGCAGAACTAAAACATTGAGAACAAGGAATGAAGACCACTGCTCCATTAGAAGATTACCTAGTCTTGGTAGCAACTACAATCTTTTACAAGGGGAGGAGAGGAACATGCTTGCTTGCACACTGTTTCATGGCTGAAGAGAAGGAGGAAACTGACAAAACACATGTCTTGTTCTTTCTGGGCTCTTGAGGGGAAGTTGAAAAGCTATCAAACTTACATTTTTTTACAGGTTATGAAACTCAGGAGCTGGAAAAAGGACTGAGACAAGAGTTGTCTCCAAAAAAAAAAGTCACACCTTCTTCACAAAAATAATACAAAACCCACTAGTTTCAGGGTAGTTTCAACTACATCATACTGCGCTAATGCTGTTAATGTAGTAGGGAAGAGGGATCTGAAGCTGCTTTCAAACTGATGCAAAATCCACATGTGGAAAATCCCTCTCAGCCTGCCCAGAGCTCACCCATCAACCTTCTGCAGCCCCTGTCTATCAAGCTGCACCCTCCACTTCCAAGATGTTCTCTAGATCAACCTTCTCCAACTTCACACTTCCAGATTCATTAACTCCCAGAATTCCCCAGCCAACATAGCCACCATGTGGCCTGAGAATTATGGAACCTATCTGTGGTCCAAAACCATTTGGAGAGTCCCAGGTGAAAGAAAGCTCTTGTTCTTTCTCCAGGTATACACCCACATTTGGGATAGTCACATTCAGCTGAATGCAATGTTGCTGAATTTATATTTGCACTCATAGACTTCTTCAAGTAAGACAGTTACACAAGAAAATCAGCACTCAACGATAATACGTGGCTTTATAATACACATAATTTCAATGTTTGTCTTACCTTATCATTTCTTATTGTAGCATCTCCTACCGTCCTGCAATGCCTCCTTGTCATAGATCGTTCATTTTAAACCCAGAAATATTCCTTCCCACCTGCAATTATAAATCACTTCATCTTCCCCCTTCTCCTCCTTAAGTCTTCTAAAAAGCAGATCTTGGTATTGTTGAAATGTCACAAGGAAAAGAATTCAAGCTTCTTAAAAGCATACTGAGAATGTTCCCTCCTTTGTCTCTAGAGGCGTTACAATGAAAATGTTTGGAACAATTTTTTTAAAAATACTACAAGTTGTGTTTATCTAGGTCTTCCTTCCTTCCTTCCTTCCTTCCTTCCTTCCTTCCTTCCTTCCTTCCTTCCTT